AGCCCAGTAAGGTGGGACAGGGACTGAGACTGCTGAGGAGTTCGCATCTGATTCTTTTGTTTGTTTTTTGGTACTAAGGATCGAACTCGGATCCTCTGGGAGCCCAGTAAGGTGGGACAGGGACTGAGCTTGCTGAGGAGTTCGCATCTGTTTTTTTTTTTTTTTTTTTGGTACCAAGGATCGAACTCGGATCCTTGTGCTTGCGCAGCAGGTGGCAAAACCACTAAGCTAAATCCCCGGCCCCTCCTGATTAACTTTTGAGTTACATATTTAATTAATATAGGGGTTTTTTGTTTTTTCAAGACAGGGTCTTTTTTTTTTTGTAGTTCAGGCTGGCCCTGAACCCACTATGTAACTCAGGCTAACTTCGAACTCGTGGCGATCCTCCTGCCTCTGCGTCCTGAGTGCTGGGATAACAGGAATGTGCCACCACTCTTGGCTTAATTAATATAATTTTAATTAATTTACAAGTAAAAATATTGAAATAAGGAGGGATTTGTTTATTTGCTTTTGGTGCTCAAGGATAGAATTTAAGCACATGCTTACCACTGACCTACACCTTCAGCTCAAGAGATTTTTTGTCATTTTAAAGAATAAAATGTGGTGTCTGACTCAAGAAAAACTAGATTTTTTTTTTTAATACCGGGGATTGAACTCGGGACCTTGCACTTGCAAGGCAGGTGTCAGAACCACTGAGTTAAATCCCTGGCCCTAGATTTTTTTTTTTAAAAGAGTTACATCTTTTAAATATCAAAATGAATGCTATTAAAATTCAGAGATTTTTCTAAAACTAACCATGTTGATGATGTTACTGTTGATTTTGTTTAAAGGAATATGCTGGGCTCCTAAGAAATAACTTGTGTGCTTTATTTACTGTACTGAATTTTGATGCAAACCTGGTTTTAAAATTTGCTGTTGCTGTTTGAAGTGATTGTTGGCGCCAAGGAGTGCCATGTGGAGGGCGTGGATGAGGTGATGAGTCTTCTGCAGATGGGGAATGCTGCCCGACACACAAGCACCACCCAGATGAACGAGCACTCCAGCAGGTCCCACGCAATTTTCACCATCAGCGTCTGTCAAATAGAAAGAAATCCAGGGGCGGGTGAAGGTGGATCATGGTATTCATATCGGCGCATTGTCTCAAAGTTTCACTTTGTGGATTTGGCTGGATCAGAAAGAGTAACCAAAACGGGAAATACTGGTGAACGGTTCAAAGAATCCATTCAAATCAACAGTGGGTTGTTGGCTTTAGGAAATGTGATCAGTGCCCTTGGGGACCCACGCAAGAAGAGCTCACATGTTCCATACAGGGATGCTAAAATTACCCGGCTCCTGAAAGATTCCCTGGGAGGCAGCGCCAAGACTGTCATGATCACATGTGTCAGCCCATCCTCCTCAGATTTTGATGAGTCCTTAAATTCTCTCAAATATGCCAACAGAGCACGGAACATTCGAAACAAACCCACTTGGAACTTTAGCCCTGAGTCAGTCCATATGGATGACATGGAATTTGAGATTAAGTTGCTTCGAGAAGCTTTGCAAAGCCAGCAGGCTAGTATCAGTCAAACTAGCCAGATCCCTCAAGAGGGCACACCTGATAAAAACAGGATCCATTCTCTTGAAGAGCAAATAGCTCAGCTACAAGGGGAATGTCTAAGCTATCAAAATTGTATAGAGAAGGCCTTTACCTTCCTGGTAGACTTAAAAGATGCTGTCAGACTAAACCAACGGCAGCAGCACAAACTTGACGAGTGGTTTAACATGACTCAGGATGTCAGGAAGGCTGCCCTCTCCTCATTCCGAGGAAGCCAAAGCTTTGGAAACCAGGAGGAAGGACCCCAGCACAGCACAGTTCTCCAGCTGAAGAGGGAGCTTAAGAAATATCAGGTATGTAGACATCACTTTTTTCAGTAATTTGCTTGAGGACTACATTTATTAGGTGTGTAAATTCTAAGTCATTTTAGAAGGTAAGAACTTTAAAAAAACTAGGTATAAAATCTCATTTGCTTTTTACTGACTTTTTCTTTCTACTTTCTTTTCCTGTTGCTTGTTTTCTTTTTTTTTTT